TAGATAGATAGATAGATAGATAGATAGATAGATAGATAGATAGATAGAAAGAAAGATAGATAAATAGATAGATGGATGAATGGGTGGATAGATGGATGGATAAACGGATGGACAGACAGAGAGAGAGAGAAATGGGTGGGTGCGTGGATGGGTGGGTGGGTGCGTGGATGGTTGGACGGATAGACAGATAGATAGATGGATAGATGATGGATGGATGAACGGACAAACAAACAGAGAGAGAAATGGATAGGTGGGTGGGTGCATGGATGTATGGATGGACAGATGGACAGACAGAGACAGACGATAGACAGATAGATGACAGATGGTAGATAGTGTTCTGTCTGAATGAATGTGAGAACTTAGGCCTGTGAGGTGAGAGGGACACACCAGCCAGATGAACAAAAGTCCCAGGGAATGAGAGCTGAGGGGAGCGGCAGGAGCCGTCCATGACGGATGAAGAGAAATGGCCATTGCAAGCACAATCATTGAACTCATCAATGTGCTTAAGTGAATGTTAGAGGAGGGAGGGTCTCCTGCGGTGACAGGAAGGATTTTCTTGAGGGCATAGAAGAGTCCAAGAGTCATAAATCCTTCCTTTTGCATTAGAAACAGTTGGTTGAGCCATGTCTCTCCACAGACAGTGATGGTTGTGTAGACTGAGTCGTGTCCCAGAAGTCTTAGGCCTTCATCAGTGATAAAGCAAACAGTGCCCTCTGTTTGGAAGAATGCCTGCTCAGTCCGCACTCTCCTTTCTTCGCAGCTGCAAAGCCCAGCAGAACCTGAACTCCTTCTTCGCTATTGTGATGGGTCTCAACACGGCCTCTGTGAGCCGGCTGTCACAGACCTGGGAGGTGAGCCTGAGGCTTTCCACTGGGAGTCGGGGTGTGGATGTGGGGCAGAATGAGACACTCCAGGGGTACTAGAAATAAGTAGATTTAAGTAGTTTAAATGAGACAAATTCTGCTGAACTAAAAGTATTCTTAGCAGGACTATGACAGGGTAATAGGAACCATTTCTATCAAACGGTCTTCTAAATGAGCTTTAACATGATTCTTTAAAGTATCTGAAGAAGATTTTTGAAAAGTTAAATGTTTTAAATTTCTCTTCACCCTCCTCTGCATTTCCTGAAGGCAGCTCTAGCTCCATGCTGACTAGACATTTGCCAGTCTGCTCTGTGGAGCGAGGTGTGCACAGAGGTGAATAGGGTACTGGCCTGAGTGAGGGGGCGCACGCAGAGATGAAGTTAAGCTTCAGTGCCCCCCATTTGCAGGCCTTGGCCACGTTCATGTTGCCATATTCAGCTTTTCAAAATTGCCAAAGTAATATTGCATTCTCATTTTCTTAAAGAGGACTTTCTCTATCTGTAGAAAGCTTAAGGCCTCCCAAACTGTAGCCCTGCTTCTGTAGATGGTGAGATCTGCTTGCACTATGAGATGCAGGAGACCAGGGTAGTTGACCTATTGCTTCAGAGGATGTGTGGGAAGAACCAAATTAGGAGAGCCAGAACTTAGCCAGAAGCATCAGACAGCCTCTCCCGCAGCCCCACCCTGCTTTCTTGCTTTCTGTGAGCTTTTGTCCCCTTGCTCTTCATCTCTGCTGACTGGCTCCCTCACCCTGAGCTGTCTCTCTCCTCATCTCTCTCCAATACTCGTGTCGCTGTCCTTTGGGCTGTGACGTGCGTGCTCCATTGTGGTCTCCTTGACCTCTCCTGCTTCTACCAGTGGCTGTGTCATTCTCCCTATGAATTCAATCCTTTCGAGTCAGGAGCTGTGCCCAATGGAATGCACTGTGCTGACCCAGGGGTGGGATAGTGCTCTCTTTCAAGACATGAAAGGGTTGCCCTCTCTGCTTCAACAAGATGGCCAAGAACACGAAAGGTTAAAGGAGTTGGGAGACAACTGCCAAGCTGGTTAGAGCAACAGGAAGACAAGTGGACAGCAAGGGTCTTCACAGAATGGAATTTGGATTGAGCCACAAAAGAAACTGATTTGCAGAAGTAATTGAATTACATTTAAAAGTCTGAATCAGCATATTGATGCCTACTGAGTTGCACACACTGCATGAAAGCGAATACCAGAGAAAGCTGTGTGCTGAAGGACCTTTTAAACCAGGTCTCACTGGCCCAGGGAGAAGTGAGTGGAGACTCTCTTGACTCACGAGCCTGGGCAGCATTTTGATTCAGTTTGAAAACAAACCTCTCTGGAATATCTTGGCCTTCCTTGTTAGTGTTAATAGCTGGAATCCGTTAATAGCAACCATGGACATGGACAGTTGTGCATTTATTTCATAGGTTGTTGCTGCAGGCTGAGAGCAGCGAGGGTGCAGACTCACACTAAACAACTGGAAAGGGGCGGGGGCAGAATTCACACAGGGCCTTGGTTGGGTCAGCTTTCTGTGGCCAGACACTAAGGCCGTGTGGAAAGCTTTGTGCTCTCGCCTACTCATGGGAAGAGGAGTCTGGCACATTTCCAGGTCTGGTTTCCTGAGCTTGAAGTTTTCCCTGGGAGGATGGCACAGGCACACATTCCCCTGCACTTCAGATTGGATGATTCTCCATCCTCTAACGTGCAGGCTGCATCCCTGAAGTTTTTCCCGTCTGTGTTACCTGGCTTCTGCTGTGTGTGCAGCCATTCCCATGAAACACATCCAGACCCACTGTCCCCACTTGGGCAGGCTGTTTGAAGGACGACCTCATTCGTCAGAGATCTGTGTTCATTAAATAAGCACCACTATGTAGAAAGTCTAGCCAGCTAGATGCCTTCATCGTGCGGCTGCCAAGGTATTTTTATCAATATGCCTAACAAAGGTCATGTTGAGGGGGTGAATAAACATGCAAATGAGACGCAATCAGTGTAGAGTCCCAGGGCCAGTATTTATGCTCAGAAACATATTGTGAGTAAGCAGAACTCAGTGCAGATGTCCTTGGTGCCCCTTCTCAGAATAGCCGCCTTCTATGACCTTTGTGGTTGCTAACTGTGATTTTGTTGTTTTGCTTAAGAAAATTCCTGGGAAGTTTAAGAAACTTTTCTCTGAACTTGAAAGCTTAACGGTAAGTAATGGGGACTTTTCTTCAAAGTAATATTAGTGCTATTTCCTTCTGGGGTCAGGGTTCAAATTACTGTCCTTTATGATATCAGTGCCCAACTGACTGCTTGCATCTAAAATGACAGTTTTGAGCTGGGTGTGGGGATAGAATCCTAGGACTTTGGTAGACTGAGGCAGGCAGATTACAAACTCCAGGCCAGCCTATACTATGAAATAAGACTCAGTTTTTAAAACAAACAATACAGTCAGCTAACATGGAAGAGCGGAAATCTCATGGAACCCCAACTCTAGACAAAGAATTGCAAGCAACTAGAAAATACTGAGTGGAGAAATAGTGGAGAAATACTCAGCTGGTTGTTCAATAACAAGTGATGATACGCATGCAAGAAACATTATGCAACTTGAATAGGGTGTATTTATGTACTTGGGAATGCACACACAGACACACACATTTTACACACACACATTGAAGGAAAAGAAGCCATGAATTTGGGAGAGAACAGGGAGCAGTTTCAAGAGAGGGGCTGGATGGAAGAAAGGGAAGAAGAGAAATGATAGAATTTCAAGACTGTTTAATTTGTAGTTTGAAGACTAAATGATAAGTAGGTGGTAAGTAGGTCGGTAGATGGTAAATGATAAGTAAACAAACAGGTGGTAGGTGTGGCTGAGAGTGAAGCGCGGTGCCCGTCCAAGCTGCCTCCTCTCCCTGGAAAGCCACATGATTGTTTCACAAGGCGTTTTCCATTCCACAGCCTGAAAGTAGTTGGTATAAATTTGGTGAGTAATTCAGTGTGCTTTGCGTTAATCTTTCCTCCTTTACTTATTGTTTCTTAGGTTTATATACAAGATCTGTAGCTTGTTTCTAGAATGTGGCATTGTCTTTGTGTTCTGAGGACAGTTTCTCTTTGCAGTGTACTTAACAAAAGACTCTGAGGTTACCTCATGGTAGAGATCACGCAGAGGCAGCTGCACTTGAAGAACCTATTTGAGGAAAATGACAGGGCAATCAAAAGGTGTCTGTCTCTTACAGTCATCTTCCATTATTGTAACCCGATACCTTGAATTCTAAGCACTGCCTAAATCGCCTGCCCTAATTAGTGGATTTATCCTCAGAGTAACCTTTATCTGCCTCATTCTTAGGAAGAACCTTGCCGTATCTAATCATGTTCAAATTGTACAGCAGATATAGATTGAGAATTACTTCTATGGTGCATTGATTTTTCTTTCTCTGTGTGATCTGCTTGGTTGGCAGGATCCTTCCCTAAATCACAAAGCCTACAGGGATGCATTCAAAAAGATGAAGCCACCAAAAATCCCTTTCATGCCCTTATTGCTTAAAGGTAATGATTTTCTATCTGTTATAGTATGCAATATCATCTTCTAGAATTGTCTTTTCTAACTGTAACAGAAACAATGGAACTCTCAGTTAATACCTTAGTATTGAAAAGACTTCCAACTTTTATACCTCTATATTTGCACGGAATTATTTTTTAAAAACCCAGTTGTTTTTTCAAATGTCTGGAATGTATAATTGTAGTTGAGCGGTGTCAAAGCATTGTCTCTTGAAACCTGTATGTTTATACTTTGCTGTTCCTAAGCCCTGTATTATTTTCTTTAGTACCATGACATAGGTAAGCAAAAGTAAGGGTAGCATACAGAGCCCAAAGGCCCAGTGTTGGCATCCATGTTTCAGAGGCAGCCCTGCACAGTGCACTGAGGGCTGAGAAACCTGTCTTTCCACAGAAGCTGCGCATCTCATAAACACTCTCTGTCTCCGAGAAGTGGGTCCTAGCTGGAAAGTTATCCAACAGCTCCACATACACCACTGAGCCCTCTTTTGTAGAGGACACACAGTTCGTGTGGAACATTGTCATTGGTGCTCTGTCAGATAGGGCTACGGTGAGGAGGAAGGGCTGCGGAATCTGGCCTGAACTCCTGACCTTCTGTGTACCCTAGGGAAAGGGAATTGGGGGAAATGTTCCTAGGCCACATTTTAATTGTTCAAGGGGTTTTGTAGAAATTTGCCTTCATCTAACCTCTGCCTCTCAGAGATAGTGTCTGCAGAATCAGGCTGCATTGACTGGCCTCATAAATGATTCTGGAAAGGAATCGCATTGCTGATGGCCTGGCCATCCTCCTCGACTACCCCACTGCCATCCCAGCTGGCCGTTAAGCTGGCCTTGCTCTTCTGCCTGTCCTGGAGGACGACAGTGTCGCTGCCTCTGTGAAGACACACACTAGTCCTTCGCTGTGTGGAGCTGGAGGGGCTGGGAGACAAAGGAATGGCCTGAGGGATGTGAGCATAATTTGTGCAGGGCTGAAAATCTGCTCAAGGCAAGTCAGCAGTGTAAGGAGAGGTTGCAATGCCAGCGTTACAGTTTAAAGGTTTCATTACCGTCTTCCTCTCTGCTCTTACTTGCATTAAGCTACACCTATGCAGGCTCATAGGTGTCATCGCAAAGTGCGGAACCTTCAGCTGGGGGGGGGGGGGCGTGGCAACAGGCGCAAAGGAACTCCTGGAATCATTTAGACACAAATGGAAACAGGAGGAAATATGAGGGAAGGGAACTGATTTGAGTAAGAAAACTAGAAACGTTAAATGCTTGTAAGGCACTGCCTTCAAATCTAGTGTCCCTTTAACTTAGGAAGAAGCAGTCCTGCCATGGTGCTCTCGAAACCCCTAAAGCCAAGGCACTCACTCACCTGAGCATGCATGCAGCTTTCTGCTCTGCTGAGTTTGGACCATTTGGTGGCAGCGAGATAAATTTCCTTCTTTTCTGTTAAAACCACATTCACTCAGTCTTAGAGGGACTGGCTTAATATTTCATGACAGCTCTTCCTCTCGTGTCTACCTGCTAATTCAGCTGGCTTTCAATTAGAAAATGGGGAGAGGTTGAACTCAGGGCCTGTGTGTGCAGGAAGGGTTGGACCTCCCATGGCTCCTGTCAGTGAGAACCCTTCAGCTGCTAAAGCCTTTCTTCTCCCCATGCCAGCCTCTGTCCCCTTGTCACCTCCCCCACTTTCTGTTCACCAGTCCCATCTATACTTTAGTTTCCTGGATCCCACACTAGCATGTGCACACATGTGCCTGTACTCACACACTCATGTACATACCCACACATACTCTCACATTCTTTCCACAGACACTCACACTCTTGCACACACGCACTCTCATATACATACACTCATGCACACACATCCATACTCAGACATACTCTCACATTCTTTCCACAGACACACTCTCGCACACACATGCACTCTCATATACATACACTCCCGCACACACTCATGCTCATGCACACACACTCTCATATACATACACTTTCGCACACACGCACTCTCATATACATAAACTCACACACACTCATGCACACACACGCACTCATATATATACACTCTCACACGTTTACTCTTATATACATACATTCTCACACACACACGCACCCTCATACATACACTCACACACACGCACTCTCATAGACATACATTCTAGCATACACTCAAGCACACTCTCATATACATACACTCTCGCACACACTCATGCACACATGCAC